TCAGAAAGAAAATAGGTATATGCACGTGTACAGATGTACGCACCACCCACCACAGCCCACCCTGTGAAAGCCTGGTCCCCTGTGTTTTGTTTTGCTGTCCAAGGCTGAGCTTCCATATGGATTTTCTGATGTCCAGGAAGTCTTGAGGCATTTCCATCAGTGGGGCATCACCTGAGTTGTCATCTTCTCTTTAGCCCCCTTATTTCCATGATGCCTGTAAAGGCATCTCTAAGTCCTTCCCTCCCCTCCTCTGGGCTGAACCAGCCAGCAGATCCAAAAGCTGCAGCAGAGGAAGGGAAAAACCAGGCAGGCAGAGCTGTACATACACACTTGCATCTGCGCAGAAAGGCAGTGCGATCACACACCTTATTTCTTTAAGAAATCAGATTAAAAAGCAATTGACTCTTTGCCAACTATAACCAAGTCTGAACCATTAGCTGGCACTGTCTCCACCCAGGGAAGAAAACCTCATTTGGAGAATGCAAGCAGTTTTTAATCTCAGAGCCTGGAAAATAGTTCATCTCAGCAAAACAAGTGCTCTTGTCTCAGGATTTTCTCTAGCATCTTTCTCCCTGTATCTCAGCAAACTCAATTTGTTTTTTTTTTTTTTTTAAAGTTGTACAGCACAAAGAATACATCACACAAATGCACGAGCACACGTTCTTTATCCCTAGGCACTTGCAAATGCAACAGAAAACAAGCAAAAGGAATTTATATTTCAGTCCATCAAGCTAAGCATTTACATGGCCTCCATCACCGTGTCATCCAAATACCTTGTCAGTCCCAGGAATTTTCTGTGCCATTATTACTGTTTTCTGAAATTTCATTTTTGTCAGTCCTGGGACTTGCACGTGGATTTTTTACTACATTATGAAATTTCATTTCCTGTCATCTGCTGTGATTAAACTTTGATCAGAAGACACAGGCTTGCGGCGACAAGCCTGACCCCAGAAGGTGAGGTGTAAACCCCTCCACCTCTGGCGGGCTGTCAGGGAACATGGGACACCAAGCCCAGAGCTGGAGTAAGCGACAATTGGGCAGGGGATGCTGGGTCCCTTACTCCCATGTGGTCTATCCCACCTGTAAAAAACTCACTTTGCTGTGAAACAGCAGTAAACTGAAGGGTCCTGACTCAAGTTCTTGATCTATAAGATCCCTTTTATCTTTTTTCCCCACACTGTTACAAGGCTTTAAAAACCATCTTAGCTCCCCCTCTGGATACACCCTTCAGCAAGTGGTTGCAGCCCATGTCTGCAACTTCCACACGTCTCAGTTTTTACATTCACTTTTCCCAGCGGTTTCCCCTCCACTGCCTCTGTGTTGCCCATGTAACACCACATTTCACAAAAAGGCGCTTTTGTTTGCCATTTTCCTGCCACATCCGCCACCCCAGCTCCCGTGATCTGCCCAAGCCCTTCCCCCAGCCCCCCAGCTATGGTAGCCAATGTCGACAGGCAGCCAGAAAGGGGATCTGACCTCCGCCATCCCATGTTAATGAATGCCCTCTCTGGAGGGAGCAGGGAAAGGCAAGGGGGATGGCACAGGGCCAGCCTCTGTGAGCTCAGCCAAGGGACGCCAAGGAGCCGGGAGCACAACTCGTCAGAGTCCCTTTCACAAGGAGCTTTTGTTGATGCCACCCCTCCATCCCGTTGATGGCACGCTTTGACAGTGCAGGCTTTTCCACCCCTTGGCTGTTGGCTGTATCAGTAGCCAGGTCATAACCAGAGTGGTGGCTCTGCCAAGACTCATGCAGTGCTCCAAGGGTGTGCTACCAGACAGAAGAGGACAAATACAGACACACCATCCTCTCGTAGTCCTCCCCCAGTACATGTGCCCCATCACACAGTGACTTTCTTTTCAGAAAAGGCAGTGGGGATGTTGGGCACTTAGAATCCCATTAGTCCACTTTTAAGGCTGGCGGGCAACCCAGCAGGCTGGCCCAAGTTCCTTTCCAGCCCAATGTGACATCCAACCTTGTCAGTCCAAGTTCACCTCTTTCTCTCTCTAGGAGATAAACCATCTGCTTAATGCTAGGGTCCGCAGAAGGGAAAAAAATGTGCTTAGAGAGACTCACGAGGTGCTTTGGGTAACGTGTCCAGCATGAGCACACAGTGTTCTGCATCCATGACAAAAACAACAGGAAAAACCTGCTCCTGCAGGCCTGCCAAGCTGGGATTTCAACAACAAGTGGCAACATATCAGCTGGCGACAAACAGCTCCTGATTCAGGGAATGATGCACTTTCCCAAAAAGACTCAGGGTTTGGTTTTTTTTTCCTTAGTAATTGATAACATGCTGGGTGCCATACAAGATGGCTCCTGCCAAAGAATTAACTGATAATGAGGGACCAAGAGGAAAGTGCCAGACAAAGGAGATTTGGAAGTGGTTGCCAGCTGCACTGTCCCATAGAGAGTATCAGAATGAGGTAAAACCTGTACATTAGCCCCTGGAAAAGCAGTTCAGGACCACTCAGTAAAGTGATTTGATGATTTGGACAAGGGTGTCACTCCATGAACAGGAAGCCTCCAGAGAGAAGGAAAAGAACAGCAGCCCATTAGTGGACTGAAAGAGGAGACACCAGGAGAAGAAACACTCAGCACATACAGGACAAACACAAGCTTCAAGGTACAATTGCCAGATTAGGACCATCTGCAACAGCTCAGCTGAAACCCCAAAGCAACCTAAGGAGAAAGCAAGGCTCGGGCCTCGTGGACCTGCTGAACAATGAGGAAGGAGATCTTAGCAACTCCATTTTGGAAAAAGTAGAGTGGACTGTGACATTTCTTGTGGGGGTGAGAAATAAATCAGCTACAGCTACCAGGATAGACCATAGCCAGGGCACCAGCAGACATCCCAGCCACTGCAGGCGAATGGAAGAGTTGCATTTGTGTTGTGGATGAAAAAGTGGTGAGGTTTGGTAGCAAGCCTGATGCAAAGTAGGGAGATAAAGGCTAAAGATGCAAAGCCAAACATAGCAGTACACAATGGTGTGCTATGGCTATACAAAAAAAAGGGTAGGCAGAATAGGCACTGGGGCACAGCAGAAGGCTCAAAGCAGGTAAGACACCGTGGCTAGGGAGACTTCCCACAGGGCAAGAGGATTTGCATCCCCCAATGGGGAGCAGAGCTTAGGCAGTGTGAGTCAGCTGCTCATGGTGGTGCCTATGACACTTGTGACTCATTAAAGAGCTATGTCCCTGGTTTTAAAGATTTATTTAATTTTTGTCAACTCCATCTCTCCAAGCAATGTCATCAATAAAACTTCTGGAAACTTTGTGAGGTTGTGGTTTCATATCAGAATTGGGAGAAATATAGCATGACGAGGAGAAAAGCAGGTTTTTCTGGCTAAAAATTTTTTGCCTCCCAAAAACTGCACATACAAGTGCCCATCACAGCATCCCTCTGATTTCTGGGAATGTAGAATATCAACTACGACACTTATCCAAACACCTCTGAACACATATACACATCCTTGCACCAAGACTGGTTACTCACGTAAGGTTCATTTCTCTTTGATTCTTCCGCTATGTTCAGAAATTACTTTCCTTTTTTATATTTGTATCTTTAAGCCTCATCAGTGGCAAAAGCCCAAGCACTTCCAAAGCATTCTGACAAATCCCTCCAGAAGGCATGTAACATCATCCCAGTTTTACAGATGGGGAAATTAACCTCTGTCTCTGCTTTAAGACAGCTAATTGCCTACGGACACTAAGTGAGTCAGTAGAAGAGCTGGGAATTGGTCCCAGGAACCGTGTCTTCCATTCCTTTACTCCACCCACCAGTCAGTACACCCTACCAGATGGTTCTTATCATTGGACATATGGACTAAATATTGCTAAGTTGGTGTAGAAGGTTGGCTATTTAATTAAATGTCCTGTCTTCTATCTCCATAGGATGCATAGGGGAAGCTCCAGCCAGAATCCCATCTGGACCCACTCAGGAAATATCTCCGCAGAGCAAACAAATCCCCAGGCAAGCACAAGAAATGTTCCTAAACCTATCAACCTGCCCTGTAATGCAGACCCCAGCAAGGCCAGGAAATAGGCTGTGACTCTGGAGCCTCAGAAGAAGCCCATGCTTGTCAAAGCCTGGTTTCAAACAGTGTATGCATGAGCCACCAATTAGGCTGGGAATTACTTTATCATGTGAAGGCTCTTCCTCCAGCCTTCACTGGGCACCACCAACGCTGCCCAAGGAGATACTAGCAGTCACAAAAAGCAGATGGGACAGCATCATCTACTTTCTTCTGGCATTATTTCTATCACATGACAGCACTGGTGTTGGTAGAACAGAGGGACCAGTTCTGCCTGGCAAATATCAGATGCTTTCTCACTTTACAATCGCTACCAAGGACACTTGAAATAGCCCCTAACGTAGTTATTCATGATGCAAAGGAGGAAACCTTCCAGCAGAAAAGAAGCAGAAAGAGATCTTCCACATCGCGGAAACACAGGGTCAGCAATTGCTTTCCCACTACGGAACTTACAAATTTACAACATCTTGGTCCCCATTCAGACAGGCACAGAATGGGTGCACCTGACTTTCCAACAGAACCCAAACCAATTTCACATCCTTCTGTTCCACCTTCACACCCCATACTCTGCACCCAGTGAGATGCAAGGGGAAACCCATGCATCATCAAGTCCGCAAAAAAGATTTCAACCAAGAACATGCTCTCCTCAATAGAATTCCCTCAATGCGTGGCTGGAGGGAGCAGGCTCAAAGCTCTTCTGGGCAACCCATAGATGCAGTCATGTACTGATAAGGAAAACACATGCATATTTCTGCCCAGTAGAAGCACATTCAGGTGAGAACCACTAGCCTGTATAGCTTTGTTAATCTCTTAACAAGCAGAAGAGTACCGGACAACATTCTCTTCCGAAGGCTTTGCACCAATACTGACAATGTAGGGAATAAAAGGACAACACCTTTCCATGTGTGCTATAAGAGCCGGGCAATCCTGGAAGGTGCCTCCTGCTAGAGGAAAGCAACTGCACGTACCTTTCATCCCAAACTTGGACCGCCGGCCATACTTGTTGATCATAATAAAGAGGACGACCAAGAGGACACAAGCAAAAGCTGCCAGCCCAACTGCTATGGAAACCTGAAAGGAAAAAGCCTTAGAGTCAAGACAGAGGAATTTAGGAGTCTAGATCGGAAAATACAGCACCTCCTTGGCCAGTTAACCTTTCTGCAGGCTTATACCATCTGCTGCAGCCTTGTGGATATCAGCTATGGATGAAAATACGAGCTAAAGCAGAGGACTCTGGCACAGCTTGGAAGCGTCACCAGCTGTTTGCAGGACTGGGATCTCCCCATCAGAGATGCTGTTCTGGCACCAGTTCTTCCCAGCCTCTCCCTCCATATATCTGCAGAGAAGGAGAATCTCTGCTCCAATGCCTGAGCTCCCCCTTCACTGCACCACATCATGAGCCTCCATTTCTGACATCACCACTGTTCCATGACATCACAACACTAAAGCTATATTAACCTGAGCCGGGAACACCCAGGAGCAGCAGAAAATTCTTTAGAAAGAGCAATTCTGCCTCCATCCAAACATGCCTCAGGACAAAGAATGAGGGAAAATAACACAGCATAAAAAGAAAACAAAAGAAATTAAGAACAACTGTGGTTTTGGTTTTATGTTTTGGTTTGGTTTTGGTTTTTGTTTTTGTTTTGTTTTTTTAATCTTCCCAAAAAAAAAACATTTGGTTTTCCTAAATCCTCTAATGGTTTCCTATTTATTGAAATTTTTAGTAATAAACATTTATACTACAACAATGTCCAAAGTCCTTCACTGGAATTGTAGTTCCACTGTGTCAGTGTACAAGCAAAGAAAAGAAAACCTCTTTGCCCTAAAGGGTTTACAATCCCAGGCTTATTTTAATATTTATGAATATTTATTCTTTCAAGTCTTTGCTTGAGATACTTTTATTGCATTGATGTAAACAACAATTTCTTTGGCATTTGTCCAATTGTTCTCCTGTACTGGGTTTTGCAATGCACTTAGACTTTGCTTCCTTTTACAAAACTGTATTCTGCTATAATAGAAAATACCTCATTTAACCAAGAAAAAGTAATTTCATTTTGCAACCCTTTTCCCTGACCTTGATACATTAGCTACAATATTTTAAAATTTTTTATTTTACCACGCTCTATTTTCATCCCCCAGCTTGTTTTCTGTGCTTTATATTTAATAAACAGTGAAGATTATTACTCCAGACTCACTGTTCAAAGCTTTCACTTCAGTTACAGGAAATTCTCAGTTGGATGAGAGCTGAAACCAAGGTGGATTGAGTTTTGTTCATTCTGTTAACACCTGGTGGGTTTCAAGATCTTAAATCTTCTACAGAATTAGAGCAATTGTGTAATATGCTAATTTTTTTTCCCAATACTTATACACAATTTTTTTTTTTTCTTTTTTCTACCTGGGTTCTGCAGAAAAAAGACAATGTTGAGATCTGATAAGCTGTAGGCTTTCTATCCTTTTTCATTTTTGGCATGCCCTGCAGAGCAGGAGAGAGGGCAAACTGGCATTGACAAAATTGAACCAAGCTAAATCTGAGTCCCTCACAGGGGTAAACTTAACAGCTCAATAATAGTATGAAACACACAATTGTCTGTTTGTTTGTTCTCTGGGTGCTACTTTTTTAGAATGAGAATTTCTGACTCTGCCAGGAGCAACTTCATAGGATGCCTTATTTTCAAAGGGCTCCCTGGTTCCACACTGCAGACCCAAGAGGATCAGATGGTTCATGTCAGTATTTTACTTGCCTGATACAAGCCACAAAATCCTTTTGATTGTTGTCTTGAGTCATAAAGGAAAAGATTTTCCTTGCAAACTTCTCAAAACAGCACAGGAATGCAAATATTGCGTCATCAATAACAAGAAATGCATGCAAAATATTTCTGTAGAGAAAAGGACAGGACTCACCCCAAAAGTGTCCTCCTCTGGTTTGTGGGTCACAGTGATGGGTGGGGTGGGACTCACTTCATAATCTCCAACTGAAACCAAAACACCAAGGACAGAAGACTCAGAGTGGCTCCCATGGGACTCCCAAGGCACCAGCACATCCCCAAAGGCAGTGCCTGACCTAACGAGGTCCAGTTAACCCCTAACAGAGGTTGCAATTTTTTATTTCAGAAGGCACCAAAATCAACCATCAGTGTCCTGTGCACATCAGCAGAGAAAACACAGGCCAGGACAATGTTGATGTCACTCCAACCTTACAAATGAGAAACATTTGGGTGCCTGATGGCTTAGGGTGGGTGGCCTCCACTGCTGAGCCATCTCCTAGAGGTTTCAGAAATCTACTGGGCTAAATAGGGTAAAAACAAAAGTCTTATTCCAGCAGAACTTGATCCAAAGAAACAGTTACATGGATGTTTATTAGAGGGAAAAACACCCCAAACAAACAAACCAAAACAACTACCAAAAAAAAAGATAAAGAATCTGTTGAGGAAACACTGCAGAAATTGAGTCCTACTTCTCATCCCAGTCCACACTAAAGAGCATGCTATAAATGGGCCATAACACACAACAGCTTTAGGGATTGGCCAGCCCGCATCTAGTTAAGACCCCTTCCACTACACCACAACCAACTATCATTTCCACTATGGGAGCTTCTTCAGGATGTCACTACAGGGAAATGAGCATCGCCTGAGCTCTAGAGATTACCCAGCTGATCAAGAGCTCCTCAGACATCTTTCTCATGCATGTGGAAGCCAGGACTTTGTGCAACCTCTGCCAACTTCCTTTTGGCTTCCTGATTTTCCCTCGAGGAGCATGTAATTCACAGAAGGGTAGGGCGAACAACAAAAACAGAACACCCACACTATGCAAAGGGCAAGGAGACACTTACTTGAGACAAAGTTGTCTGTACTTTCTGTGGAAAGGACAAAGAGAGAAGCAACACAGTTAGCAGCATAGCAAAGGGAGAGTGGTCTCATTCCCAACCCACCTCAGACACACCCCACCACCCTAAAGTGCACAGGAAACCAACTTCTTTTTTTTTTTTTTTTTCCTGTTGGGCAATTGTAACTGGAAATTGCAGCACAAGTACCAGCAGGACATGCTGGACGTCAGGATGGATAGCACAGGGTTAACTGTGCAGGGCCTTGGGCTGAAACAGGAGGGGAAGGATGCTACTGCAAGGCCAAAATTGAGAACAACTAGCAGCATGCTACCCAAACTTCTGATCAGTTGTTAAATTACACTGTTTTCAAGCAGGAGAGCAGAGCTCAACATACACATGGGGCTCAGCAGGATGGAGGTGGAGGAGAGAGAAGCAGTCTTTGCCTTACATGGCAGTGTTCACCCAAGGACAAAGTCCTACAAAGATGAGTACCAGCTCCTAAGGAGGAGATCCTAGCATGGGGCAGGGTGTTAGAGGAGACCTCCTCTGACCTTCTTTTCATGAGCCACTCATAAAAGCTAATAACATCCGAACTGGACATGGAGGCTGTGGCCACCCTAGAGCTGCCTCTTGCTCAAGACAGCCACGCCGGTCCCTGCGGTCAGCACCTCTTGACAGCACCAGTCTATTCAGTAAAGCTCCTTCAGCTCCAAAGGCAGACAAGGTCCCAGACGATGAGGTCTAAAGCTCTCAGTGACACTCAGTTTACATAGCATGAGAATAACGTCAGCTTTCAATTCACTCGCCCATGTAAGAAATTGAGCCCGATATTAACTGGAGTTTACACAGCTTTGCTGGCAGAGGACTGGAAGGACGCTGAAACATTCACACTGAAGTATGGGTGAGGTTTGGAAGGGAAGCGTAAAACAACCCCCGGGTGACAAACACAGCTCTCCAAACCAGGGGTAAAAAACCTGAAAAAATATTTTTGTTTCAAGTCAAGCAGAAGAGTAAATTTCCTTGGCTTTTTCTAGCAAGGGGTGTGGGGGAGAAATGAGGAAGAAATATTTCATTTGGAGACTTTTTTTTTTCCAATTGAAACAGACAGAATCTGGTCGTAAAACTCTTGCTGTTTCTACATTTTCCCCTTTCTATTTTTCTCTGCTGGACTAAGCAGATTCAACAGAAATCCACAAAAACTTTTTCCCACTAAACTTTATTTTTCAAAGTATAAGACATAGCCAAGAAATTTTAGCCAGCTTGGGTTCTGTGAGGCATTCCCAAAAAAATTCACTTATCGTGAGGGAGGTAGGTACATTAACCTTTGTGGATTAAATAAGGAGATGGTAGCCTACGGTAGAGATGTCAATGACAACCTGCAATGAGGTTTTTATCAGGACATGACATAAATCTGTCCTGGGAGCTACTGCCCTGGCTGCTAGAGCCACAACATCACAGAGAAGCAGGATATGGCATAGGACATATCTCCCAGCTCTCACCCAGCTTCTGACAGCACCTTTCTCCTCTCAACCTGGGAAGCACAACTTGTCACAGTACCAATGAGAGGCTGCAGACCAGAGGTTTCTAAAAAAAAAAAACCACAGTCACAGGTCCTTTTCTATGCTGACGGGAAATCTTCCAGGTACTACGCTTTCATTAATTAATTAAAACTAATAGTCTCATCCTGGGTAGTGACTGCAAAACCCTTGCACGTGCAAAATGTTATAGGCAATAAGCTTCTTGAGTGAACCACACTGGGGAACCTTCAATTTGTGGCATTTTCTCGAGGAATCTATCTTCAAATGGGAAATTATAAAAGTCAGCTGCATTGAGTGTTAATGTCAGCTGTGGCAGTGGACGGAATACTGAACTTCACAGAAGGTAAATTACATCCTGCATTGGGTTGACAGGGTCTGCTAGGGTGAGGAATGGCTTGGGAATTTATATCAGAAGAAATAAAAGAAATGGGTCAGTTTCTGCTGAGAGATGGTTCAGGGTCAGTAAGTACTCCACACCAACAACACACAAGAGGTGTGGGTGAAGATGCACTCGCAAGGGCAATATTTTACATATATTTCACATAGTCCCATTCTCCCAGAGCCTCTGACACCAGAGGCTGTTCAAACATCAACATGCCTTCCCACATCACAGCACAGCTCAGATCCATTTCCAAAATCATCTCTCCAGAACAGCAGATCTTCCCCCTTTTCTGGAGGTCCACCACCTACTTAAGAGCTGTCCCTATTTCACAGATGGGGAAACTGAGTCACAAAGGTGGGACCTGACAGAGCTGAGAATGCAAACCTGTGCGCCTCTCCTCACCCACCTACATTTGATAAGCTGCTCTTCTGCCCTGACAGAAGGAAACATAAATAGGTCAGATAATCAAACAGGGCATCATCCTTGAAGCCAGAATACAAATTTTCCACTCCCATCCATATCAGCTCATTTGTTCAATTGTCAGATCTTCAAGGCAGAGATTTGGGTTTGCATTTACAGTATTTGACCTGCGGCAAAACTCTATGTACATATATGGTGTGATATAAATAATAAATGAGAGTACCGTTGGTATTTTTCTATATTTAGCAAACGCCCTATTTTGCTGGATTTTCTTGGGCTGCAGGGGCCAATTTAGAGCTGCCACTTTCTCATGGCATCATTCCTGAAGGCAGAAGCATGAACAGATCTTAACCCCATGATGACCAGCACAGTGTTGCAATGCCAGAGAACCGATCAAGACCCTCCACACTCCTATAGAACAGGCAGGTCACCACAACCACTATTGCACTTTCCAGAGCTGGATCTTCATGTCCTCAAATGGTTTTTTTTTTTCCAGTTAAGCCCTGAATCTCTAGGAAGTAGCATGGGGAATTCCAAACAGTCAGTTAAGAAATTCCAGCAAGCTGATGCAAAGCAACTAATTGAACTGTTGCATCTTTTGTAGACCTGTCATTCCAGAACTGCACAGGTATTATTCAAAAAGAAAATAATCCTGACACTGCTGCATCCAGCCTTAATCATTTCACAAATGCAAGCTAGAAGAAAAAAAAAAAAAAAAAAAAAAAGCTGCATCACTTCGAAGGGCTTTCCTTTCTTTATCTTATAACCAGCAATCACATAGAAGAATGCTTTCTCTCAAAAAAACCTGGGCAACCTCTTTGGGGCACCCCATAGAAAATCCAAAATAATTGATGAAACTTACACCATATTCTCACCAAAAATCCCTAAAGATCTTAAAAAACAAGCAAACAAAAACAAAACAAAAAAAACTAACAACAACAAAAAAACCAAACAAACAAAACAAACACAATGCTGTAGAATATGTTACACAACATAAATATCTAAACCAGCTAGTGTGTGTCTCTGCATAGAAGTGTTGTTATGACACCAAAGCACTCTTGAGTAGGAAAATCATGTTGGTCATGAGAGGCCTCCAGAGGTCACTTCTAACCTGCTGCTCAGAGAAAGGCCAACTTCAGTTGTCAAGGCCTTGTCTAGGTGCAAGGACTACTAGTGGGACCATAGTAAGACCTCTGGAATGCAAGAAACCCTAATGAGAGAAACTGAATACCCTACCTGGAAAGGGCTTTTCAAGGAAGTGTCCTTTGATGGTCTGGTTGGCTGAGCCCAGATGGTTGGTGGCCACAATCGTGTAGTTGCCATTGTTGTAATGAGTGGGTTTGTTGAAGAGCAGGCAACCCTCAGACACTTCCCCTTGTTGGTAAAACTCCATGTGGATGATCTCTGTCTCCCGAAGGACCTGGCCATTGTGCAGCCAATGAAGGGTGGGAGCTGGGTTCCCATGCACTGCAAATGCAATGCAGTGCTCCAGATGTAGCACTGGCTCCTCCAGAGTTAAGATGCGAGGGGGATCTAAAAGAGAAGCATGGCAGGCTCACAGCACACCTCGACCCACATCACATCTCTGTGCACAATGGAAATTAAGATTATTGAAAATGCAACCTCCAAAATCCTTTGTTCCTTCTACTCTTCCCATGGATGTCTGCAAAGAAGCAGTGGTAAGTCACAAGAACCACCCCATGCTCCCCAGAAGACAGGATCTGAACCATAGCCAGCTCTCCTGGGCTTCTGAACAGGGAGACAAATTAACAACAGGAATGAACCTTTCAGCAGCCCAAAAACAATAAATCTTGGAATTGCCCCGTCCACACACCTATTGTTGCTCTCCTTCCCTCAAGGGATCACAGCGAGGCCGTCTGTTCCCGTTAAGGAGGACACCATGACGTAGCACTGTTAAATTACACATGTGCAAGGTGCCCATGGGAGCTCTCCAGTCGCACTGAACAATTCTGGATTGCACAGCTGTGGAAGCAAAGATCCCTCAGCAACTGCCTGTCCTTGGGGGTTCTGACTGCCTGAATGTCCCAAAGGAGTTTCTCACCCGCCGAACACCCTCCAGGGGTGTTTTAATTAAAGGGAGTTGAGTGGGAGAAGGAAAAGAAAAGCAGAGACTCTGCCTGCAATTTATTGCATATGCATTGTCTTCCCCCCATCTCCTGGGACATCCCAAGAATTCAAATGTTGCTCTGCCATCGCTTCTGAAACCCCATTTACAACACCTACATGTAAGGTCCAAAACCCCAAGGCTGGCAAGTTCTGAACTAGAAGAACAGAGGTTTGTGCAAAAACAAAGGACACAAAAAGATGTAAATCTTCCCTAAAACTCTCCTTTTCCTGGTAGCACCCAGCTTCAAAAACAATCCACGAGGCATTCACAAGGAACAAAAACAATGCACTAACTTTGACCCACCTTTTGGAAAAGAGACAGTGGATTTTTCAGGCAGTGATGGTGGTAGAAGAGAAAAAGGTGCAGAGTTGGTTGGAGCTGAGCAAAATTCTCCCACCAGCACCCAGCTACCCCGAACCACACAGCCGTGTCCCAGCCACCTCCTTTCACTTACAAGCCTAAATCTGCACGTGGATTGTTCACATCTTCCTGGCAAGGAGGATTCAAAACAGGCAGCCACCTACACGCACAAACCCAGATCTTTTCAGTGTGAAATTAGAGCCTGAATGATGAGTCTGGGCAACAAGAGCAGGGGTAACAGAAATTGTCAGCAGCTGAGAGGATTACATGGGTGAAAACAGGCATTGGCATGGTTCTTTTTAAGGTGTGGAGGAAAAGATTCTAAAACACAGTGCAAAAAACACCTGCCTGCTAACCAATCACCTCTGAGCTGATCTGAACTTTAATTACCTCCATTCTTCAATCCATCGGTTGTATTTATTGGGAGGATGATAAAAGCAGTAAAGCATCTACTTTCCTTTTTTCCTATCCCTCATGACTACCTTGTCTACAGGACTCCATGGCTCCAGCACTGCCCTGGACACACAATATGTGTGGGTTCACCAAGACTATCCAGAACGCCACATGGTTCTACACTCTACCTGGCAATGTTGGGGGTAGGGGACAGATTTTTCAAACTACAGAGTAAGGGCAAATATTACAGGCACAGCAACTTATAGTAAATCTCAACTTCTTGAGATCACAAAGCTGTGTAAACTTCCTCTTAAGGTCAGGTTTGTGTTAAGCTATATTAGAAAGCACAAAGAAAGTTTAGATACTCGCTAAAAAAAAGTGAACAGTTGAAATTTGACATGTGTGCGTTTACACAGCGTTTGCAGTTTAACTTTGTGGGAACAGATCTGAGAGGAAGCACTAACATCCCTGAAATCAGAGGCAAGATTTACACTGGCTTTAGCAAGGGTGACATTTAACCTCCCACATAGCATCAGGGCGAGCAACTCTGTGTTTGTAAACAGAGTTTTTGTCCCTCTACAGCTTTTCTTTCTCTGTTGGATCTTCCAAAGAGATGGGTGGAGAGATGTCCACCACCAGTGTGACACTGCTGCATCTCCCCTGCCCTAGTACTCATTTCTGCATTAATGGAAACTGCAGGAAAGTAAAAACACTGACACTTAAGAGAGCTGTGCAAAGATCCACCTCCTCCTTACCATGTTCAGCTCCTAATTCTCATCCACAAAACCAGTATATCACAGGTAGCAAGTGGCCACGCATTGAAATGGTTCCCAGGGCAGCCCTCTAGCTTCTATATGTTTAAGGTCTCTCCACTGCTACTTACAGTAGACGGTGAGCAGCACACTGGCATTGCTCATCCCCACCACATTCTCAGCAATGCAGGTAAGCAGGAACCCGTTGTCCTCACTGGTGACATTCACCAAGGTCAGATTGATGGCATGAACATTGGTCCAGTTGAGATTGGTCTAAAAATCCCAGAGAGAAATACAGACAGAAATCAGTATCTGGTGGCTCCTCTCCTCCCCCACTACTGCCTCCAGAAGATGAAGATCACAGTTTCCACATAAGATGTGAGAAGGTCTCCAAAATCCAAGGATAACTAGGATCTGGGTGAAGGGAGGTGTTTCCTCACCTAATTAAATACAGCACATCTCATAAGAGGAAACGCTGGAAGGGGGAGAGCCACAGCACTGTAGCACTCATAAACATGGCTTGCCTCTAGAAAAGCTTGCTTAGCTGCCTATTTCAACTACAGCTATTGCAGACGCTTCTGTAAACAGGTAGTTTCATTAGAGGAGGCATAAGTTAAATTCAATTAGGGAACACTGAGATATGGAGCTATCTCATCTTCACTTTCCAACCATATTGAGGGAAGGTTTTGTTGCCTTCAGGTAGTTCCCAGGTTCTCATGTGGGTAGGGTATGACCCTTTCGCATTTCTCATAGCAGTCTCCACCATCTACCTGACCCTCTGCCCAGCATGCACAGACCTGGGGAACCCACGGCAGCTGCCTCACCCCTGCCACATCGGGCGCAGGCAGCACAGAGGTCCTGAGACCCTTACCTGGTGCGTGTTGATGGAGTGGAGATCAGCCACCGTCCAGTCAACGTCGGGCAGCGGTGAGCCTGAGCCATTGCAGGTGATGACAGCATTCTCCCCTTCCCGCACCGTCAGGTTCACATGGCTCACACTGATTTCAGGGAGGTCTACAAGATCCAGACACCAAGGCACTTAGGTGTAGAGCAGTGTTTTCTACAGCCAGCCACAGGACACATGTGAACCCAGATCCCACCAAGCTGTTTCCCAAATCAGCCTCCAGCACCCCAAGGTAAGTAGCAGAAGGCAACAGCATGGCCTTGCCCTACACCAAGGGAAGGAGGGGTCTTGGAGATAGGGGAAAACACAGACACCGGAGATGTGCCAGCTGAACAGACTCTCCCATCATATTGGAATCCAAAAGTTGATGTCCAGTTCTGGCTGCCTTTCCCTTCACACAATCCCCATCCCCATCTCTTCTACTCCCACAGAAGCTGCTCTCGAGGGCAGTCACCTGGGTTGGGAAAGCTGCACATGCTGGGAGAATCTCTCATGTCCCCACCTCCAGGGAGAAAACAGAGTACCCAGCACTCCAGGTGAGGAAAGTGTCCCTCTAATTTATAAGAATCAAGAGAAGGTAATCAAGGATGTGTCCTCATATTAACTGCAGCTCTCCTAATAAAAGGTGCCCTTGTAGTTCCTCAGATGGCAGAGAGATTCACAGATTTATGGTGGCTCTGATTTACACCATCTCCTCACTTGCCACCACAGGTGCCAAATACCCTCACAATATGAAACAAGACAGCGCTGGTTGCAAGAAGGGTGGCAAACACCCTTCTTGCATAGGGGAGGCTTTCTGAGCTGTTCATAGAGGCAAATTGGGTAGAGAGAACAGGGGGGACCTGATCAGTAGTCCCCTCCTGTCATGGGGCAGCAGCATCCATCACACCAACCCAAAGACATGGATGGGGATACACATCCTTTCATTGCCATGAGGGAGTGACACCCGGAGGGAAGCCACATTGTACTGTTTTGGGGGGATGTCAGAAAAAAGGAGGCAGCGATCAAGGCCTGGCAGAGCTGCATAGGTGGTAGGAATCGGTGGAGAGGGAGATGGGAGTGACATGTATGGTCTCTGTAGGTTGAGCTGGTATCAAGCATGGGCACATCAAGCCATGCCAGCCCCCAGCACCAAAGGACAAAGACAAATGGGTTGTTGTTACAACATCCCTTGAGTCGTCTTAATGCTAGAACAGTCTGACTCTCCTCTGGAGGAAAGCAGATTAGTGTGGCTCCCTGCCCTTCCAGGAGACTGCAAGATCAGAGAAGGTGTTCTCCCTGCACACCAGCACATTCATGTTCCCAAATCAGCACCCTGCCATCTCCTAGAGTCTAATATCACCATTGATAGAGTCACCTCTCCTCCTGTCCCTGATCCCTAAGGATTATTTTTTTTTCTCTAATCCTTGCCGATTATTCTTCCCATGTGGGGAGGAAATTACAGCACACCCGAATCTTTTTAGTTCATCCACATGCAGGCATACTTTGGCCAATTTCCAGAGCTTAGTAAAGGGACACTGTGAACTTGAAGGGAAAAAAATAAAAAAAAAAAGTCATGCAAATTCAAATGTGCATGCTGTTTGTCTACTACTGCTACAAGAAACAAACCCAAATTCCTAGACCAGAGGACAATCATCACCAAAAGAAAACCTCTGGTTTTCTTCCTTTTTTTCAGCTTGTGAATTTGACAGATGCTTGCATATAGACAGCTTAATTGTTCTGCTGAAGGTACACCTCCTTCCCCTTACTCTGCAAAGGATGCTTTCCAGTAATGGCAATAGCAGAGCAAAAACTGACTCTGAACAAGCAGCTGATGTGCAAACAAGGTGAAGGAAAAAAGGATAAGTATTAAACATGCCTCACATTGCTCCTGGGGGCACGGGACTCTTTGAGCAGGAAACAAAGAGATATAAAGTCACTCCTACCTCTTCCCTACAGATATGGGCTTTCAATTGAAAAAGATAAAACAAAAGAAAATGAAGACGTGTATTTCCTAAGAGTAATTATGAAAGATACAGTGACAGTGTCTTTTAACAATATGCTGTTTCTATGATTTGTTAGACAGAGAAAGGGGGAACATATCCCTTTTCAAGACATCAAGTAGACTCATCACACTTTGTCAAGCAACAGCATTACAATAAGGGAAATGCCCCAAATCACCCCATGCCTTCAAACGCATACACAGAAACAGCAGCCCCACATTTACCCACACGCTCTATCTTTAATCCACAAACTACCCCAATCAGCTTCAATCATCTTATTCTTGACTACACGGTGGGATTATGCTACATGAGGTTCCTCACGCAAATGGTTGAACCAGAGGTGTCAGATTGGACAGGACTCCCTCCCAGCTCCCTGGTCTCCCTCGTGCCCGGCTCCAGGAGCCCTTACCACACTGGGTGATGTTCATCTCCTGCAAAGGGATGATGGCTGCGTCCATGTTCATGCAGTAAAGCTCCTGGTACTGCAGGTTTGCCTCCCCTTTCTCCTGCCAGAGCTGGATCCAACGGATGTCACAGCTGCAGTTGAAAAGGTTCCTCTCAAGTCTCCTATGGGCAGAGAGAGCATGAGAAAGGATGGTGGAGTGGGGAACGACGAGCATAGCTACCGCCTGGCTCTGGGCTCCCTGAGGACAAGTCACAATGGAGGTACAGGGGCCCCTTCTGAGCTAAGGGAAAATCTCCTCCATGTTATTTGCCTGCAGTCTTCTGGTGCTCGTTATTCATGTCTCTTCCGCCTCCAGAGAAACAGAGGTTACACATCCATGCATTCACGCAGTCTCCTTCACACACACACACAAGGTTTTACATCTCCCAGGGTACCACATGGATACACACAACATTTTTCACTACAAGATCTGCACATCTGCACCTCGGTCTCACAGACATCCAGACACCCAAAACATTCATCCCTCAGCAAAGGAGCAGGCATCTCCCCACTGCCCTAAAATTTTGATTCACATCTTCAAATCCCACTTCGGTGGAGGTCCAAGACCCTGCTGGGCAAAACACACCTCCAGCCCCCCCACAAGTGCTCAGTGAAGCTGGCAGCTCTTCTCTGGAGTACCTTGTACAAACACAGCCTCCTGGTGACCCAGGACACGAGCTAATGTGCAGTGTGTCATGCATTTTAATCAAATCAAACAGCACTGCACTGAGACCCTGCTGACCTGGCCAGGAGAAATAGAAAAAAGCACTGCCTTTAATGTACTTCATTTAAAACACACTTACACATAGTTTATGTACCAGGAATGTTTATTATAATTGATTTTTCAACCTATTAACCATTTCATTTACATTTTTAAAGACCTGCAGTTCTCTTTGGAGATACAAGGAGGGCAGGTCCCAGCAGGGAGGAGAGCCTGGTTCTCAGTCAAGACAGACTGAGTTACCAATGTGCGTTGCAGTGATAACTTGAGCAAAACTGGAGATACAGCTTGAACAAACAAAATATCTCCCCACAAAAGAAAGTAGGGAACAGAGAAGCCAGCACTGAAAAAGGTGAGCTCAGTCACACCAAAGCAGAAGGGCATCTCCAAAGGTCAAACCATTGCTTCACACGATATCTAGATTCCCCTGTTATACAGGGTGAAGCTCTTTTTCTGGTCTGTTCCATGTGTTACTGCAAAATTCATGCTTGCTTTTACAAAATTAATTCCACCAACTAGCAGGATTTGGAAACAACCTTTCAAACATGTGCAGCTGCTATTTTGTCAATACAGTACTGCAAAAGGAGGAGAAGGGATCTTCTGGTAGCACCCAGGGGTGTTAATCCTGAACCCTAATGATGCCACTTTGAATCCTCTCATAGAACGAAGTGCCAGGTGACTTTTTTTTTTTTTTTTTTAAACAAACACTGAGTTAAACTTCACTCTGTGGCTTTTCATTAGTTCATTCCTTTCTTGTCAAAAGCACGTAAACCTTTGAAACACAGGTACAAGGCTCAGGCAAGTGACTCAAATGCCAAAGCACTAGATTTAACAGACCAGAGCAGATTAGCATGGTGATTTGGTGGGATTTGAATGACAAGGCATACCCTGCATGCTACAAGAGGTACTGCCAGTGCCTCACACAGGTTTTGTATCCTCTTCAGGATGGGCAAAAATCCACATTCTCCTTGGGATTCTCCCAAGGTCATTGCTACCAGCAGGACATGGGATGGCACATGGGTAAGAACCATGGATTCAGCTAACTGCAGATCAAGTAACCAGAGTTGTAACCTAGAACATGGCAGGGAGTCGGGGGAGCTCAGAGGCAACACGGAGAAATTTTGCTCTGCTGCAAATATCCTCATGATATGAGTCTGCTGGGGAGAGCTGCTGTCCTAGCACTTAAGGGCAGCTCTGTAAGTAATAGACAGCATCCTTCCCGGCCAATTGCTAATTCATGACAGCCCATGAATAATACAGGAGCAGTGGGTTTCAGGGCAGAACTTACCCATGACCTGCCCCAACATCAGTGATGTAACTCGCTCTAATCGAGACCCCCACAGGGGCTTTTGCACAAATTAACTCCCATCACCAGCTGGATGTGCTGAGTGCCACCAGCAGCTGGCATGACACTGCAGGTAGAAGGGGCACAGATGTGTACACCTGTTTTCCCTAACACAGATTGCAAAAGCACTCTTGACATGTGGGAGATGCCCTCCCTCCTTGCTTGGTGCCTGCTCTGCCCTCCCATGCCAGACACTCTCCAGAGAGGTGTGTAGGGATTTCCATGCTCATGCTGTCCTGAACCTGCCCCAAAACCTGGACCTCCATTTCTCTCCTCAGATCCCATCCCTTGCAGGGATCATTAAGAGCTGCAGCTCCTTCTAAATCTTCCTCCCACAACTTCTGTAACACATCTGCACTGCCTATGACCCCCTGCTTGCTGAGATAAATGCACCTTCCCTTCTCTGTAAAGAGGAGAAGCACCTCAGGGACTACAAAACTCACTATGGCCAAAACTCACCATCGGGCCAGAAGACATCACCATGTGCTGTGGAGATGTCTCCCATCACAGCAGGAAGGACAAGACTGGTGCCAAAATGCATGGCAGGGCAGCTGCACTCCTTATTGCTGTTACATGCTTAATGGGTGCAGCAGCACCACAGAGAGAATTAAGGCAAGGGGTTCCTTCTCGTGGCACTTATCCAGCACAGCTTACTCACGGAGAGGACAAGTAAACTCAAAGGGCATTTTTCTCGTGTAGTCTTAGCCTGAAAACATTGCCAAAGCATTGCTTGGTTACAGGCGTCCAGGAGCTGTGCACACTCCCACACCTTCGGAAGGCCTTGTTAAAACTGAAAATGCTTGTGAGAAATAGCAAGTATCACAGCAGCAAGTGAGCTGGGCTCTCTCTGCACAGAGGAGTTGACCCAAAAAGGGACCAAACCTGCACATGAGCCAAAGCCAACCTCAGGCAAAGCACAGGCTTGCAGCAGGGTGTGCTCCAGGCACAGCCCCTTCACAAAGCAGGTTCACTGCAGGGCCTGTGCGTGGGACAGAGGAAAACTGGGACAGTCATGCCCTGCACTGTCATTCAAGGGGATGATGACAGAGCTGAAGCCCTAGAGCCATGTGGGACCAAGTCAGCTCTTCAGAGATAGTGATGCAACAGCCCAGTTTTGCTCCCCACAGAAAGCTGTACCCGCTGCCTCCCAAAACTGCCTGGAGACCTTACACCAGGGTGGACCAGTGCAGGGAAGGGATGCCATCAGCATCCCAGTATGTACTGGGACAGTCAGAACTTCATACACAGAGCAGGTTGGGCTTTTTTTCAGGCTAGGCAGCTAAATGAGACACATGCCCCGTCCCATGCCTCACCATTCCTTAGCTAAAACAAAGCTGTCTGCAGCTGAAGCCTCTCAGAGGGCAACGGAGACCCATGCCACACTTCTGTCTGTTTTGATTCACATAAAACTTCTGCCAAGGTTTCATACACTTGTAATTAAAACACTCTCCTACCTCAGGACTGAGACCATGTCCTTAAGCTTGAAAACCAAAGAGCACCCAGAAGAGAGAGGAAAAAAAATAAAAACCTATTCTTGTTTTAATTTTCTATTTATTTCCCAGAACCAGGGTTTTTCTTGGTGGTCCAACCAGAACTGTTATTTCCAAACCCCTGCTGGAAAGGGATGGGATAGAAAGGGAGGAACTCAGACAGGGAGTGACGCGTGGAGTCTGGATTAGCTAATGTAGAGAGCAGGCAAGTACCCACTGTCTAGCTACGACTCTATTACTGTGACTGTTGGCGGCAATAAGTTTTTAAGCTAGTAGCTCAGACAACCTTAAGTTGGACTCATAACATTAACAGAGATTCTGCTGGGCTCCATCCCCACCAAAGCCTCTTGCTGTAGCACTGCAGAAATCTACTGCAGGGCAAGCTGGCAGGGACAGCTGGTATTAGAAATGCTGATGGGCTAGGCAGAGCAGCAAGATGTTCAGGACTACAAGGTTTTATACAACCCAAGATGTAATTGGATCCAGGGTCTTAGGTCTTTCCGGGAAGAAATTTCTTGAAATGTCAGTCCTAAGCTCTCTGAGGACATGACAAAGGAAGCCAAGGACATGACAGAGGAAACCAGCTGTGACTTCTGGATAAGAAAGCCTCCAAGTCCAATGTTTATGAGCTGTTGCATGTGTCAGATACTTCCCTGTGCAAACTCAGCTTCAGACTTAGGAGCACTGTGCACACATTAGCTTGAGTCCTGCTGGTCAAGGTCAGCCCATGCTGTGGGAGTTAGGGCTGGAGTTACTGGAAACCATTCTAAGCCTTGCTTCTGGCCAGGAGGAGAAAGAGATAATATTCTTTGGAAGTATGCCTCATTTTTGCCATCCTCTCTTCAGTGAGTCAGCAGGGGAAAAGCTAAGCTCTGTTGAACAAGAAAAGAAACTCTGCTTTAAAGCAATATCATCTCCCTGAGCTTGAGATGCCTTGAATGCAGCCAGGCAGCTGTTTCAAGATGCAAGTTCCCATCCACCTGCCTGCTCTCATAACATGGCATGATCTTCACATTAGTCTTCTGCTCTTTCCTCCTCCATGTTAACTGTGAGTGGCTTTGTCAGGTCTCATGTTCCCTGGCAATCTCCATGTCACATCAGTTGTAGTTCTGCTCCTCCTAACACTCTCCTGGAGACAATCATCCCATCACTTCCCTTCCTTCATGCTCTGCTGCTCCGAGCTGCCTCAGTCAACACTGTAGTTCTGCCTTCGATGACTATCTCCCTTGGGATACACAGTTGCCTGGTAGCACCGGGGCACTGGTACTCAGCAGCATGCCTTTGGTGAACCACTGTAGACCTGTGCCTGCATGTCCCACCAACCCTCCCCACAAACCAAACGCTCTCAAGAAGAGCAGACCCTTGCCACCATCTATCTGTCCCTTGGGACTTCTAGCCTCTCCACAGCCGTGCACAAGTGTTGCTGCTCAGTGTGCCTTCCTCAGGCTTTCTGCTTCTGCTTTGATCTCTGCTGCTCATCGCCTTTTTCCTTTCCAGAGAGTTTTGGCTCAACTTCAAGTCCTTGGCTAATGTCAGTCTGTAACTCCCTTTCTAGCTTTCACCAGTGCTTCACACTCACTTTATGTGGGCCATGTATTCCGTCTTCCTCCCAGATTCTGGAAGCCTCCTTGGAGCTCAGTGTGCCAAAAAACTGTCTTCTACTCACCCATCCTCTGCATTTCTAAAAAAAATACAATATTTCCCACTTTTGCTCATCCATTACTAATTTATCCCCATCTCAAGGATTTGCTTTCCCTCATCAACAGGTTCCATCCTTCTAGTACTCGGGATCATGACCACCCCACAGTAGATAACATATGTCTTTATTTCCCAACATCTTTATGTGAACAACTATTCAGAGTCCATAGATTAGGCTACACCTGCTGGCTAACTTCTCTAAAATAAATCCAAAGTTCAACAGAACAGTTTCATGGTCCCAAGGAGGACACTGCGGGCACATCCCTCTGACCCCATCAACACTGACATCCCAGTGGGTATCAGGTAAAATATCCCTCTCCTGTCACGCTTCAGGGAACACCACCATCATGTTATTCTGGTGCTGACCATCCAACCTGTGCTCACATGGATGGAGGGTCCTTAGTGACCAGTAGCCCCAAGGGCAGCATTTGCCAGGAAGCATCAGTGACAAAGCTATTCTTCAGAAAAATTAAACTTGACCAGGCTCTTACTCCAGCCCAGCCAACAGCAAGCCAGATCCTGCAGGCACAGGCATTTGTAAATCTAAGTTGATCACTAGAGTTGGTGCCAGGGGGTGGTTTGCCAAGACCCCTTGAGAAGCATGGTGGCAGGAGAGGTCTGATCGAGGCTCCAGCCCCACGTGGTGCCAAGCCTCCCCAGCAAGACACCGTGGACACCATGCATCACATCAGAGGTGCTTTCCCACCCCATCACCTCTTCCTACCTACCAGCCCTGCAATCTCCCACATTTCTATCTGCATTACTTCCTTCATCAATTGGGGCTTGTTATCTCCAAGAAAACTGCTCTGAGTACAGCTCCAACTAGAGACAAGTAATTAATCTCTTTCTCATTTTCCAGGCTGCAGAGAGCTGGCCACAAGTGACTCTGCTGACACCAACCAAAGCCACCCCAAGCACACCAGCTTCCCTGTCAGGATCACCATAGCAGGACAGCACAGATGTATTCTTCATCAGGTGGGGACAAGTACACTTTGCTGCCCAAACAGCAGCATCTCAATTCCCTTTGTGCTTGGTATTGGTCTTTAGAGCCTGACTTGGGCTGGCAGACCTGGGACATGCCTGAAGAAACAAAATATGACCAAAAGAAGCAAAGCCACATAAAAATGAGTCCCGTTGGAAATATTCCCATTAATCTGCAGGCTCACCGTTACCCCAGGCCCTGCCAGTGCCTCTAGCTCATGACTGCAGACCCATTTGCTCCTCCACTCTTGGGTCTCTCTTGGGTAACAACCATCAATCTGAGTTTTGCCAGACGGTGGAATGACAATAAGTAAAGGTCTAAGAATACAAATGACTCATGCTATTAAACTTGAAACCTGAGCCAGGCTTGAAAAATATTTAGAGCTGTAATCAGTGAGGAGACAAATTCCAAATTCAGCATTTTAACTCTGCAAGCCAGATTCCCCATCAGAAGGGCGTTTCGCTATTTTCTAATATCACTATTAGTATTTTTCATTTAACAATTTGACAGAAATAAAATACACTGCAGTAACACCGGTGATAACACACTTACTCCCACTTGAAAGACTGTCTTTATTCTTTCATAAGTCACTTCTAGCTTACAGCTCTATTGATCATCAGTGAGGATGAATGGAGCTTCCCAGGATCCTCTGGGACAAATCCTACATATATATATTTTTTTATACCCACCAAACAACTATTTCTAAAATTCAACAAAACAGGTCATCAGGGCAATGCTCAATTGATTTCGTGTCCACTTATTCTTCAAGCACAGTGCTGAATGCTCTATCAATAATTCAGCAGGCTGAAGGCCACCAGTGCCCCAGGAGAGACACTATCTCATCTCCCACATAGGAGCTGGGAGGTGCCTTGATTGCTAGAGAGTAAGGGAGTCATTCACCTAAAAAGCAGGGGTGTCTTATAAAGCATGTCCATCAGCTAAAGAAAAACAGATAGCCCTACCCTGCAACAGATGAGGACTGAGTATTTGAGAAGACTCCCTCAGAATCTGGCCTAGTAAGTATTGCTAATATGTTCCTAGAGTTAGTCAACCGTTTACTACCCCAAGCATGACTTGTTCATCATTCCGACGTTAATTAGCCAGCTGCTGTGAAGTTAAAAGAGAAGCAGTTCTGCTCTGGTGCTCCTGTACCCGAGAAACCCTCCCAAGGATGGTGCTGCCCACTGGAGTTTTAGGTAATTATTCACAGACTTCAAAATAGCTCTATTTGAAAACTGTTCCTCCTCTCAGCCTCCCCTCTTCTCCCAGGAGATAACTCCAGGGTGGGACTTACAGTTCAAAGAGTCGCAGGGTCTGAAAGAGTTGCCATGACAGAGTGGTGAGCCGGTTCCCAGAGAGGTCTCTGAAAATTAACAAGAAAAAAAAAAAAAAAAAAAGAAGTCACGGTAAATAATTCCTCCTGCACGTGGCCCTACCGCCTCCACAGAGCTCATTGACGGGGAGGCTGTCAAGCAGTTTAGGACCCAAGTTTAGATTTCATAATGAGAAATTTTAATGAGGACAAACCCAAATGGAAGTTTCTCTCTTTACACTTTTTTTTTTTTTTTTTCTCTAAAGGGGGAAAATGGTTTATATCCTGCTGCAATGTTAAGAAAAAAACTCCAAACACAGCAAGATATGTCTGATTCTTATCCATGAGTCTGGAGCTCGACCAACCATAAGCAGAAAGAACAAGCTCAATTTTATAACTTGAACAAAAAATTAAGAACAAACCTCATGTTTAAAATAGTAGCAACCAGGTTCAAATGACACCACGATGATTACCCAAGGTGTTATCATATGATCTGCAGTAGCTGTGCGCTTAAAGTGTCCCGGTACGGCTGTGTGTTGCTTGCACCCAGGGGTACCACTGCTACAGCAGCCAACAGCTCCCCATCCCTCTCTCCATCTGCCCAAGCTTGCAAAAACATAAATCTCATCTACCTGGGAGAGCTTTGCAACCCAGCAGACATCGCCTCTTCAGCTGAAAGCCAGAGAGGATGAAAGAGTGTAAAAGCAACCAAAGTATTAAAACAAGAGGAAGAAATGTGTTTGGGGCAGAGTGAGTGGAAAAAGGAAAGCCCTGAGTTTCTAACTGTGTGAGAAGGTAGTAATTAAATGTTCTCTGTAGTGGGCAGCCTTCTTGGGGATGCCTGGCCAGCCCAAGAGCCACCAACCAGCCCATGGTGTGAGCAGAGGGATGCTCTGGCAGAAGCCCCAACCCTCCCATAACTATGCTGGCATCCAGAAAACACAGGAGGTGCTGCCTCCCATCCTTTGGTGAATCTGTCCCCATCCCTGCCAGCTCCCTCCTGTTGCAAGCTGCCTGGGCAGGCTGTGGGCAGGCAGGGCAGCTCGGTGCGGGGTTGCAGATGCCCTCCTGCCTCAGCCCTGCTCACTGGAAAGAGCAATGAAGGGCCAGAGGCATGAACCACCTGAAGATTCATTAAACACTCAGCTAGCCAGAGAGGAGGTACGGGACAAGGTGGCCCAGAGGTGCCAGGGGGCAGCCCGGACATGCTGGGCTCAGCCCACAATCACAGTTTGATTTGCAGAAATGTGCTAAAACCAAGAAAGCAAATCCTGGAATGATGCCTGCTGGTGCAGGTCTGATGCACAAGGATTTGGGATGAGAGATTCATTTGTCACCTTACACAGGGTTGCAGCAAGGGCAGACACGTGTTGGACAAATGCAGAGAGGGCACAGCCCAGGGACTGACAAGGAACAGCAACTCTCATCCTGTCCCACCTGCTACCAAGCAATGCTGTGAAGCCCAAAACTCTGCAATTAGGAATAGGGGAGCCACTGCAGCTCACACAGCAAACCATCATCCCAAATGCTCTCCATGAGCCTGGCAGAAGAATGAGCCCAAACACCATGATAGCACAGTGCTGCATCATTAAATTCTGGCTCTGCTTCACATCACACTATCCCACTACAGAAACCATGGCAAACCACAGGTACTTCATTTCACATGACTAAGATCCCACAATTCCTATGACTGTAGACAAACTGCTTCCAGACTCTGATAAAGTTTAGAAAGGTGGCAAAAATAGCAGGTGAAGCTAAGCAGGGTGGGGGGGTGGGGTGGGGGTGGGGGAGGGCGGGAAATTGCAAAACTCCCTCTTTTATCCACCCCGGAGCACTGAGCACCTGGAAACTTTGCAAAGACAGATGAAAAGTAGGAGGGGAAGGAGCAGCTCACTGCTACTGAAAAGCGAGACAGTAAACTCCCTCCCCCAACCCAGGGAGAAGAAGGAAGCGTAAAGGGGGATGCATGAGAGACAGCAAGATGTGGGAGAGAGGCAGAGATGCAGAGGAGGGAGTGAATCTTGCTGGAATGTCCTTTCTCAAAGGTCATGTTTTGCTACATTAGGCAGAAATGTCAAGAGAAAATTGGATTCTGAAAGAGAAGAGAAAAAACAACAGGCTTTCCACGCAAATAAGGGAATCAAAAATAGCATGATCGTGTTATTACAATTTAGGACACAGAGAGATGGAGAAAGGAAACATCCTTGCTAATGCAAGGGGCTTTGTCAGGCAGATGTACTCCGTTTCTTGTCTCTTGCAGTCCCTGGAAACCAACTCCTACCACCTCCTCCCTCCCCCAGACAACAAACCACAGCAAGTATTAGGCAAAGAGGAGATGGGTCTTCACTTGCACACATCTGGCAGGAGACTGGTCTCAAAGGACAAAGCCGGTTTCTGATCTGACCTGACCATCAACTTCTGTAGTGCTGGTTGTGGGGGGGACACACCAATGGCTCCGGTTCAGATCAGCCAGGACACATACAGGGAGGAACATGTTAATCATTGGAAACAGACAGCTTGGACACTTTAAAATGTCATCAAGGTCCCTGATCCCAACACAGAGACAGAAAGGGGCTACACACAAACACGCATTAGAAATACACCATTTTGGTCACAACAGCTCCAAAGGTCAGAGATGCCAGGATTGGGTTTCCACGTGCAAAGGGTACACGGTACATCTGCTGATTTCTGTCACAAAAAGATAGAGAGCTCCTATGGAGAAACCTCACTGCACTGCACTGATTTCTCCCTAGGATAGATCCATCCTGCACACCAGATGGGGCAGGTTTCCTGGGGAAGATAGCGTGTGATTGTGTAATTAGAGACGGTATCGCAGTACATGCACACGAGGAGATTCAATTACAGCTCCACGGGTGAAGATCTGAGCTCTGGCGCTTTGTAACTCTTGTTCGGTGCTCACAAGTTTCCCCCTGTGCTTGAACCTCATCTGCATGCATCAAGTTTCCCAGAATTTGTAGAGCATAAATGGGGAGGACCGGGGAAAATCAAGGCCCTCCCAGCCAACACTAGTCCTCTCCCAGCTCCAGCTGCCCGTTCTGCCTTTCTGCCACTGTTTCTAAGGCTGAAAGTCTGTTGTCACCTCCAAATCTCTGTTGCTTGCACTGACTAGAACCCACATCTTCCTGTGCCCATGGCTGGGCAGTGCCAGGTCTCTTGTTCCCAACCTGTCTCCTTTCCCCCAACCTGGCCACTTCTCCCTAGAAGGCTGAATCACACTACCCATTGCCCTCCAGCCACTCCCAAATACTTCTCAGCCCCAGTTTCCTTATCCATGCCCAAATTTCTTACAATCTTCCCCACCTTTACATCCTCCCATCTCAACCCCAGAGTCCCAACAAGAGCTGCCACTCCTCGTCTCCCCTATCTGCTCCCAAACATTCTTTGCAAAATTTCTCCCCTCCAACCGGACCAAGACCCATTCTGCCTACCTAAGGAGACGTCCCAGAGCAAAATCAAGTCTTTCAGGCAAAATCTGCCCTTTGACAAAGTTTCTTCCCCTCCACAACAGGAGGGTGCAGGTGCTCTGTAACAGGAGCATCACCAGTATTTTTCTAGCTTGAGTAAAACAGACTGTTTCCCCATCTCTCTTCCACTGACTCAAACATTTGAGCAGGTTTTTATTTGAAACTAGAAAGAAATAATCCAAAAAAAAAACCAAAATGAATTCAGCCAGGAGCAGACACCCAACACAAAACTTCAGCCTGAGCAATTAAAATCTGGCAGAGTTATAGGAAAGTGAAAGCAGTCCTGTAGTGGAGTGTGCCAGACAACCTTTATAACAGCCTATGCATCAGCTCCACCTGTAATAAAATACGGCACATCACACATCGAGGAAACACAGGGGGAGGGAAGCAAAATGCCTTCCCTGTGTGTTTCTCAGCAGTGAACAGGAACCTGTCTGTCTCAGGACAGACCTGCCACCAGCGCTCCTGGAACATATTCAAACTGCTTCTTTGCCATGGGACATTTTCTCAGTGACTCATAAGATGCTATTTTCCATAGAGACAGTCTTTAGAAATAGCTGCCAGTGTCCTTTTTGCCTCTGTAGCAATTTTCAAATGAGTTGGGTAGGGAGAGGGGGTTGGATGGAGCTCACCTGGACCAGGTCCAGGGCAGCAGACACCCAACCCACTCGCGACTCAAGCTCAACACCACTCCGCTCTCCTCCTGACACAGAAGCCGTGCTCCTAAGCCTCCTGCTTTGCAGGTGGCTCATCACGCCATATCCCCACCAGCCTTCTCCACCAGCAACCCCACGTATACCTCAAAGGCGGGATGTTACCACTGAGTGACAGTAAAGTCCTAGTTCTTGCTCTCTCCCTCTATCCATCCTCCTCCTTCATTTCAGGAGGGGACACGCTGTGCCCTGCATGCTCTCTCACACTGCCCACAGGCACTGTGGGGACATTGCTGGTGACCAGCAGAGGAAAGGAGGTGACCATTGTCATTTTGTCCCAGCACATGAGTGACAGATGGGGCCATGGAGGTACATCTGCTGAACAAGCTCCTGTGTTTAAAAAGGGTTGGGTGGGTGTGGGACAAAAATAGGAGTCTGAATCCATGTGGCCCAGAACAAGTGGACTTCACTGCAAGAGGAGATGGCATGTTTTCTTTCCCCTCAATTACCCAGCAGCCAAAAGTGTTTCCACTATTGAAGCCATTTATATTCAGCTAAATTAAGCCAGTTACCTCATTAATGACACCAAGAAGCAGGAGCCCCTGTAATTAAACTGTAAGCTATATTATGCAGTTCAGCCCAATGCAATGGCAGAAACGCTGATGCTGGGGAGGGACCCTCCCCGTCTGTCCCTCCTCCACGCATCTCCATCCTCCGCTCGCCCTTGTTTCCAACCTGACACATTTACTTCTGCATGGGAGAAGTTTTTCACACATTTTAATAACACGGTGCCACTCTGAAAATCCTGATCAGGAGGGGATTAACTGCACAGAGCAGCTGGGGCTTGAGGGAGCACGAGTGACTGCCTGGCAGAAATGAGAGTTGAGATGCACATCCTCAGCTGCCAATGCCA